CTGCTGAAGCTAAGCTCTTGCTGACAATAACTAATCAGAGACCTTTTGAAGATAACCTCTTGAAATGAAGAAGAGTAGAATTTACCTTGCTAATGTGTCCCTGATGTAGAGTCGTTTCTCTTGTGGGTGGCAGAGATGCAGAACACCCTCTCTGCCTTGGTCTCTCCAACATATACTAGCTAGATCTTCCAGAACCAAATTGCTACTAAACCTCTTTCTTTTTCATCTCCTCCCCGTAACCTCTGCCAACACCCAGTGATTATTAAATGCTATCCTTTCAGTCAGCAGCTGCTTTCTTGGAAATGGGCATTTTATAATCCACAATGCAATCAGGGCACATCTGTTCTCAGAGATTAGATGGGAAGAGATTGGCATTCCAAACCAGGATTAAGCACAGGGTGACCTGCATTCACTCAATAAAAAAGTTTGAATAGGATGCAGAAGGGACTCCAGTCCTTCCCATCAGATGGCTGTGTGGTAGCCATGTACAAAATCAATCACTGCCTCCCAAACTAAAGCCCAGTGGTCCCGGTGATCTTATCCCAGACACTACCAACAGCATGGGCAATATATGGCTCCAGTTTTGTGTCTCAGCAGGAAGACAAGGGATTGAATGGAGTATGAAGGCTGAACTCTGCTCAGGACAACATAAACCCAGAGATGAGGAGAACTGAGGCACATGAAGTGGAAGGAGAAAGCTTGCGCTGTTGCATCTGCCCTGAGGACTGAGTATTTGGGACTTTGAAGGAGATTGAACCAGCACTTTTCTGTGCTCTTCAAATTTTACTTCAAAATAAATAGCTGGTGCAGTATAACAAATAGCCACGAGATGGCTCCACAGAGTTCTCGCTATGACCTATGGCCAGTCCCTAAAGTATGATAGAAGCACCCATAAGGCACACAACACACCCTGAACACCTGGCTAACGGGAGAGAGAAGGTGTCCTTTGGTTTGTCAAGTGCAAAATGGAGTGTCCTAATATCGTTCAGAGGAACCATAGCAGACTATTTGTGTATGAGGCCCAGTATCCTGGCATAACCAAACAAAGCAATGATCTATAAAGTCCCAGACCCTAGTTTTGACAAGTCTCACCTCTAGGTGCTGGACAGCCTAGGATAAAAATAACAATGGGTGCTTTAAAATCATAGTCCATTTCCAAAATATCATCCAGAGACTAACAGCCACTGCTAAAAATCCCACCCTACCTCTACCTCATGAGGCCCAGTATCCTGGCATAACCAAACAAAGCAATGATCTATAAAGTCCCAGACCCTAGTTTTGACAAGTCTCACCTCTAGGTGCTGGACAGCCTAGGATAAAAATAACAATGGGTGCTTTAAAATCATAGTCCATTTCCAAAATATCATCCAGAGACTAACAGCCACTGCTAAAAATCCCACCCTACCTCTACCTCTGGAGGAAAAATGTCCAGCACACCTACTGCCTAGGAAATGACCAGCTGGGTAGCACGGAAGTAGAAAGGGATCTTGGAGTCCTAGTGGACTCCAAGATGAACATGAGTCGGCAGTGTGACGAAGCCATCAGAAAAGCTAACGGCACTTTATCGTGCATCAACAGATGCATGACGAATAGATCCAAGGAGGTGATACTTCTCCTCTATCGGGTGCTGGCCAGACCACAGTTGGAGTACTGCGTGCAGTTCTGGGTGCTGCACTTCAAGAGGGATGCGGATAACCTGGAGAGGGTCCAGAGAAGGGCCATTCGTATGGTTAAGGGCTTGCAGACCAAGCCCTATGAGGAGAGACTAGAGAACCTGGACCTTTTCAGCCTCCGCAAGAGAAGGTTGAGAGGCGACCTTGTGGCTGCCTATAAGTTCAAGTATGGGGCGGCAGCCAGGCTGGACCAGCTCTGGGTAGGAGCCGCCTCTGTGGCCCAGTGGGTGGGACCTGGATTTCTTCATGGTAAGGGTGGCCAAAATTTGGAATAGGCTTCCAGGGGAGGTGGTGCTCTCCCCTATCTTGGGGGTCTTTAAGAGAAGGCTGGATAGGCATCTAGCTGGGGTCATCTGACCCCAGTGCTCTTTCCTGCCTAGACAGGGGGTCGGACTCGATGATCTATTGAGGTCCCTTCCGACCCTAACATCTATGAATCTATGAATCTACTATAACCTCCTCCACGATCCTTTTGTCCTAAAGCAGGAGGATTGATAACCCTTAGGTCATATTAATCCTAGTTACTGCATAAGATATTCTTTGCATATAATTATTGCTAAGCCAGGTTAATTGGTAGTATGACTTAACGTGTGGCCACCACATTGACTGTCCTTATGTTCTTTTAGTTACAAGGTTGTGTTCATTACAAATGCCTTTGTCTTAATAAAAAAAGGTATGACAACAGGTGATATTATATAAAAAGCCTTTTCAAACAAGAGAGGCAATTTGTTTTATAGGTTAACATTTCCAAATGCAGATACCTACACACCAGCAACTAAAGTACCTACTTGGAGTATGAACGGTATCTAAAACCTCTAAAAATCTAATTCGGTTACATGCTGCCTAACTTTCAGCATGTTAGGAAGCCCATGGAAATCAATGGTACTACTCACATTCTTAAACTTGTGCAGATACTGAAGTATATTGCTGAAATTATTTAGGTGCCAACAGACAGATACCAAACTTCAGGTGTCCATGCATGATTGAAAATACCAGGCTTCCAAGCCTGATGGTGGCAGATATTTATCCTACCAGCAGGTGGCAATCTTTCCCCATTCTTCACTTCTCTTCCTTTCTCTTCTCTTGCTACACCCAGTTTATACTCTTCATCTTTCCATTTTTTTTGGTTTTATCTTCCTTTTTTGTTCTTCATCAATAAGAACACATTCTTTCTGGTTGCCAGGCTGAGATTTTTCAAAAGTGCTTATCTTTGTGAAATCTAAAGTCTTGAGGAATTATAAAATTATGAAAAATGAACAGTGGAAAAGTCCTAATAGATCATCATCTCTGTCTTCTGGCTAGTGCAGGAGTGTTCTTTTTTGCTATATAGCTTCTAGTATTCCATCATGTTCCCGAATAACTATTTTAAGCAGTGGGGTTTCCATCAAGAGATTATTTTACTATCTAACAGATTTTAATCTTCAAATATCAGGAAAATATTTTCTATGTAAAATTCCTTTAACTCATTGTTATGTTATTGCTCTTAGACATCCCTTCACG